CCTAAAATAAATACCTTTTTTCTTTCTAAGCAGCTACAGCTCTGTGCCGGCATGTGACCCTTTATTTCCCCGCTGCAGATAGGCGGACAGTCCGCAGGGAAATCATAAATTTGACAGACATGTCTGGGTCGAGCTCTGCAGATAGGTCGAGGTTGAGCAGCTGTTTTTTTATAAAAAAAAAAAAAAGTTAGATTTTTGCTCTTCAATATCAGTTAAAACAACAGGTTTAGAGGCAAATTTGAGAAACTGAAGTTTTTGCTGATATGAGATATGAGGCTGTCAGCTGTGACGTGCCTACATCAGACGACCTCTGTGTAAAATGTGTTTGCTTGTCAAAAGAGAGCTTATCATTCGCCCTGGCTGCTGTAGTGCACTGACGTCCTGTTCCAGGATTAGACGGCGCGGAGGGTGGTGGTGATGGAGTGGTAAATAGTGACTGAGTGGTTGGTTGCTGGGCCGCCGTGCCATTCGGTGATACTGTCAGCTTACATTAAGCGGTCGCGCTGGTGAGGCGCAGCATCATAATTCCATTAAACGGTGACCTGGTGAGGAGACGATGAACTGTCAGCAGAGCTGCTGTGGCTGTGATGAGGCGGCTTAAGTGCGAGCTGTGGAAGAAGTGTTGTCACGATGGTTTAACTCGGCTTACTTCATATTGGAGAGAAAGCTCGTGGAAGACTTGCGTACTTTCCAATCAGCTCACTTATATTTACGTCTTTCTTCACTTCTTTCTCTCCTCAGGCATCTCTGTCATGGGTGTGAAGATGTTACAGTGCTTTCCCTTCTACAGACGCTGCAAAGAGCGCTGCAAGAGCAGGCAGTGCCCGCCCCCTCCAGGTGAGCACCACCTACTGTATATTCCACCTGTATGAGAAAATCAAATGTAGAACAAACCGCTTGACTCTCTATCTGCCACCCATGCAGTGCCTGTGGAGGAGATGAAGCCACGTCTGTCCTCTACGACATCCTGGGGCAGTGACAGCGAAGGAACAGGAAGCATCAATCGGGGTTCCCAGATCTATTTCTCCACCAAGGCCCGGCTTTCTTTCAGACACCAGCTGGACAGCAACATCAATGCAGTGGATGCCACCTACTGAGGAAGACCCAGGGCTTCATAGGACTTGAATGGACTCAGTTTTCCATCGCCGGTTTATGCTTGGAGCCCGATAGTAGAGCAAACACATTTTGACGCCACCTTTAAATGGGAATGGCGGTAGAGTTGCAGAACCACAGTTTGTCTTTTAACTGCTTGTTCCTCGCTGCTCGCACACAACTGCTAATGATTCGTCAGATTCAAAGGACAGAGGAAAAAGGACTGGGATGAGACGGCGCTCAGAAGTCAGACGATTAGATCCGCTGCCCAATCGGGCATACTGATGAGGGCGAGGACAATGTAGAGAGTTGTTTACAGCGTTCACTACCAATAAGTGCATTACTTTGTCTTCTGTTTGGAAGGTTTTTTTTACTGTGTTTCTTTTATATGTCTTTTTTTTTTTTTTGACTACCTTTGTAGAAAAAGATCAATTTGCTGATTAGATCATGGCTGGAGTTAATAAAGGCTGTTCCACAAAGCAAGAGGAGGAAGATAGCATTCAGTGTGATGAAGTGTGTGACTATCTAAACCTCATCATTAAGTCATCATCGTGAATTAACTTTCTAATCCTGCTCTGTGACTCAGAACCCTGCTAGTTTAAAGTGAGATAATAAAACACAGAAAATGTTTTGCTGTTTTATAAAAGACATAACTGTAAAAACACGAGGTGGGACTGTGTGTAACATCTGCTGCAGTGATGTTAATAGTTAATAGTGATCTGTGAGATCTACGGTGGCCCTGATACTTCAGAAAGGCTTGCTGAAATCCAGTTGGGTTGTGCACCACAGGGCCTCCGTATGAAATAAGCCGAGCTACACAGCAGCTTATTTCTGATAGGTATTGTCTTAGTCTTGCTTGATTCTGATCAATATTTTTAATTAGAAAAAAAGACGCTCTGGCTGTGTTTTTAAAATGCACGTTTCTTTTGTTTGTTTGTTTTTAAAGAAAACCTTTCTGTATTTGCCCAAATTGAAAAGCTATGACTGTTAAATGCTGATCAAAAAAAAGACTAATGATCACTTGTTCAAATCCAGAGTATGTCAAAAATATCTTCATTCTAAACTAAGCAAATATAAAATAAGTTGTATCAAAATGTCTCCGGTGTGTTTTTTTTGGGCTGGGGGATATATTGCTTGACAATGTTGTAAAGACACAAAGATACCAAATATTGGCATTTTCTAAAAACTAAATTCAAATACTCCAGGAATGCTACAAACAAGAGGGCTCCTCTCGTGCACCACCATCTGCAAAAAACATCACCTAAGCAAACTCGCGGTTCAAGCTGCTTCCTAAGTCAGAATAAGCTCAGGTACATGAGCCCAACTCGACTGGCTGCCTGCTGTTTGTTTTTTGGTTATATTACTATGCAACAGGAAGTTAACTGAGTGCAAAATCTAATAGTTAAATGTGAATTTCTGTTTGTGTAGACAGCAGCAGATGTGATTTTTGATGATTTATCGCAGTTAATTGGAGTGTTATCAGAAACAAATTGCAAATAACTTCCAACTTGTGGACTGATATCAGACGTGCTCTTATGGCAACATTTATTGCAGGTTTTAGTG